AAAAAAAAAAAAAAAAAAAAAAAAAAAAAAAAAAAAAAAAAAAAAAAAAAAAAAAAAAAAAAAAAAAAAAAAAAAAAAAAAAAAAAAAGCTGTTGCTTAATTGCTTCACTAGGAAGATAACACTGACTTAAAATTTTCCGTGGTGCATTTTGCTTTTTCCCTCTCTGCACTGCCTGGCTTGTGGTGAAACACAGGATTTGGCCCCTTAATTTCTAAAGAACTTGTGCTTCCAGTAGAGGTTAGTTCTAGACTGGCAGCAATCTCACAGTCCCTGCTTCTGCCCTGGAGGATGAGGCAGTTTTACCATCTCAGGAGGCAAGTCCTGTGAGGAGCAGCTGAGGGAGCTGGTGGGGCTCAGCCTGGAGAACAGGAGGCTCAGGGGGAACCTTCTTCCTCTCTCCAACTCCCTGACAGGAGGGAGGGACCAGGGAAGGATTGGTCTCTTCTCCCAGGTGGCAACTGACAGGACCAGAGGAAATGGCCTCAAGTTGGGCCAGGGGAAGCTTGGATATTGGGGAAAAGTTTTTCACCAAAAGGGTGGTTGGGCTCTGGAATGGGCTGCCCAGGGAAGTGGTGCAGTCAACATCCCTGCAAGTGTCCAGATGGCAGGTGATGTGGCACGTGGGAATGTGGTTCAGTGGTGGACATGGTCGTACTGGGTTACCAGGTGGACCCAATGACCTTAGGGGGCTTTTCCAACCTCAGTGATTCTGTGATTTGTTTGTCAGGTTTTATCTCTGCGCTACAACCAGCTTCTGATACAAGAATACCTCTGTGTAGACAAGGATATGTATTTTTGTTATAACTATGGAAATTTAAAGCTAGTTTTATAAACCTAACCACCATCCAGCCTCTCCTCATCAATATTAAGAGCTCGAGGCTTTGGTTTCTTCAAACCCTGTCCTTGCATCGAGCCAATTGCTCTGAACCCAGCGCTCATGAGCAAGTGCTGAAGGTGGTTCAGCACACCCCAGCAAAACATCAGGCCTGTGGGTGGTAATGCCAGTCCACACAGTTCAGCTTGCAGAAGCTTGCTCGGGTGTCCACGCTCCTTTTAATCAGAAGAAGTTTGCAAGACAAGGGGTCTGCTTTCATTTTCTGTGCCAGAGGGCGTCACCAAGTGTGGGAGGAAGCGGCAAAACACGAGCTCTGGAAACACTGAAATCAGAAGTAGGGAAGAGAGTCTGGCAAAGGTTTTATTTTAGGGAGTGAGGGCTTGGCAGAGGAGTGCTTTGGCCTTTTTTGAAGTATTTGTCTGTCACCCAAACACTGGCCACATAATGTAAAATGTGATGTGCCCTGTCTGCAAGTCACAGGTGTATTTGTAAGACCCCGGTTTGCAAAGCTCAGTCTTGAATTCTTTCCAGATGTTTCTTCCACAGTATTGCCTGTGTCTGGAGCAGTCCGTGTTCTCCATATAGGTAATACTGCAAATAGCAAGAAAATATTACTGTGATTCATTTGGCACTTGAAATATCTCTGTGCTACAAACTTCTAGGCATGGTAGGGTCCTTAAAAAGACATATTGGTCCTGGAAAGCAATAGTCTTCCCTTGACATCTTTACTCTGACATTTGGCTGCTGATTGCATTTTCAGTGTTGTACAAAGCATTTCTTTATTCCGTGTAAAATAGACCTCATTTTTTATTAGCACAGAATTTTTATTCATTCATTAGTGCCAGCTGTTTAATGACAGGTAAGTAAGTTAATGCGCAGTGCCTCCATTTTTACCCTCAGTAAAGGCATGCAGAGAAACCCTTTCCTTGGATAGCAGTCTTTGTTTTGCACATCCTGAAGCCAGCATGTGCAGTTCAATTTTTGCAGTAGTGAAACAGTCGTGGTGTGCAGTTTCCTGCCTGAGATGATGCTGATGTGCAGCCATCCCAGCACAAGCTGCAAGAATCACTGTTTGCAACGTCCAGATTCCCTGTTTTCCCAGGGTAACCTTGCAGCCTGGTGTAGGATGGGATTTTTAATAAGGACAACCATTCTGTGGGAGCCCAAGGGCTTCCATTGTGCTCCTCTGTTTTATCCAAGCACAAGAGGAAACTTTTCCTGCTGCTTGTGTCTGGTGTTGCAGTTGGACTCCAAGACCAGGCTGGATGAGAAACCTGGTCTGATGGGAGGTGTCCCTGACCACGGCAGGGGTTTGGAGTGAGATGGCCTTTAAGGTCCCTTCCAGCCCAAATTCATTCTGTGGTTCTGTGATTCTGACTGAAATGTGCTATTTTCATAGTGCCACACTTTTTGCAAGTATTCCTCAGACAAATACAGTGAAAATACTCTGCAGGAGATGTTGAGGTTTTCAAAAGTACTCTGTGGAACTGTTACAGACAGATTGAGAGCCAAAACTTTTTCAAATGAACACAGCTGTCAAAAAAAAAAAAAAAAAAAAAAATCAGGATTTTGCTCCTAGGCGTGCTATATCCCTGCCACCAGATCTGATCCAGTGTAGATCACAGTGGTCCAGGCAGGGATTTCTGGTTGGAATCTGTGAAGCAGCTAAAGGAAGCAAAAAATATGTGCGTTCTTGGCATATTTGCAGTTTTCAGATTCAGTCTTTTCCCTGCCTGTGGATATTGGAAGCCAGTGCACGTGTCCTTTCTGGCAGGGTGTGGAAACACTTGGGCTAGGTTGTCAAGGACAGGTTTTCCCTTAGGGCGACGAGGTGTGGAGGTCTTGCAAACACAATCCTTTTGCTCTGGGGAGGATGCTTAACCCCCTGCCAGGTGTCTTTTGGGGGCAAGAGCTGCTGTTTCTGACTGAGAATCTCACAGTTTGGCTTTGCCCCATTGAGTGATCCTGTCCATCTCTGGCACTAGGCTGCTGGAAAATGCACATTAGAGGGGAACTAAAGTCGTGGAGTCTGCTCCTGACCTGTTGCTGTAGGTCATCTTACTCAGGATTACTCTGAGCATCCCCTAAGCTGATCTCCGAAATTCTGGCAGGTGTCACAGCTTATGCTACCGTGGTCATGTGCCAGTCAGGAGAAAGGGTTGAAAGTCTAGTCCATTGTGATTAACTGCTGTTATGTCTGGCAGATGTTACTTGTTCCATTAAAAAGAAAGTGTTTTTTTGTTTTGTTTTGTTTTGTTTTTCCCTCCCTCTTAGGTGGAACGTATTGGGTATTCAAGGAGCCTTACTTAGCCTCTTTGTGGAGCCAATTTACTTCTCTAGCATCATCTTGGGGAGTTTATATCATGGGGATCATCTATCCAGAGCCGTTTACCAGAGGATAGCAGAGATAGAAGATCTACCACCTCTTTATACACTCAACAGACCTTTACTTAGTGGCAAGTATCTAATGGAGAAGGCCGTGCCGGTAACTAAGTCTGTTCCAGTAGCCTTGTGATTTTGCAGTTCTCAAAACCTTGCAAAAACTGTGTGCTGTGGGTAAACTGCTTGCTGGTTGCAATAGAGAAGTTGTGGTCTAAACATAATGCAGAGGGTCAGAAATACCCATAGCAAGGACCTTTTCAGAGTTGGAAAGAGCTGGGGGATGAATGTTTCGATGAGGCTTTCGCATCCTTGCTGTCCGGAGCGTGCCCTGCCGAGGTGTGGGGCAAGTTGAAGGCTTAGTGAAGCCTCTTCCCACCCATGGAATAGCCTGGTAGCTCTCACTGTCACCTCTCTTGCATGGCAGATGTTTGTGGAATGGTTCCATCATTAATCAGTGTGCCAAGACAGACACAATTTCTAGATCCATAATCAATCAAAATGGATGGGGGGGGGGGGGTAACATCTCACCTGTCTTAAACTCCAAAATGGCTTGTTAACAGTAATGCTGTGAAAGCTTTAAGGCTGAAATCTCATCCTCCCTCTCGTTGTGTGCGTTGCTGTTGTGGCTCAACCCCAGCCAGCAACCAAGCCCCTCACAGCCACTCACGCTAGTTTCACCAGCTCACTCTGGTTTTCACTCTCTCCCCCACCAGCAGCACCAGGGACAGGATTGGAAGGGTAAAAACCAGGAAACTCGTGGCTTGAGGTAAAGACAGTTTAATAGGCAAAGTAAAAGTCACGTACACAAGTAAAGAAAAACAAGGAATTCATTCACTGCTTCCCGTGGGCAGGCAGTGTTCAGCCACCTCCCAGAGAGCAGGGTCCCATCCCATCCCACCCCACGGTGGCTTGGGAAGAAAAACACCACCATTCCACCCCAGCTGAAACCAGCACAACTGCTTTGTTCTGTAGAGCTTAGCTTTTGGCATGTGTTTGTTTTCCAAAGAGAGTGAGAAAAGCTTGTGATTTTAAAGCGTGTTTAAAGTTTTAGATGGGTTTTGAAAATAGATGTAGGGAGGGAGCGGGGGAAAAGAGCATTTTGGTAAGAAAGGTAATTAATAAGGATTCACTGAACTAGAATGTGTAAAAATGTTAAGTGACTCTTTTGTCCTTATGTTAGCAAATAAATAACAGTTACAACACTCAGTACCAAATATCTGATAGTTGGTTGGGCACAGCAGATGATGTGTGGACTGTTTCTGCCTGACTGGGGGGAATTTTTATCAGTTCTTCAAGGTGGCAGGTCTGGAGCAGAGCGGGATGAGTTTTTGTTTTCCTTTTCACAGCATATAACAGTACCTTGTCTTCTTTAAAATCGTCTTTCTGCAGTGGTGATATCATCTATTTGCTATGAAATAGCACCATCTGTTTAAACAGTTCAGCCAGGACTCGCTGAGCAGCAGAGAGAGTTCAGAAATATCCTCAGCTGTGGAGTTTTCACAAAAACACACACCTCAAAAACATACAGAAAGCTTCTTTAGGAGGTTGGGTGGAGAACTATCTTGATGTATTTTCTTCTACTAGCTCAGTTTTGAAAGCTCATCTTCTGACCTGTGCCATTGGGTTCAGCTGGGGCATTTGTGTAGCTGCCCATCTGCCCTTGGATTCACATATTTTTTTAGTGTATTCTTACCTGGAATAAGCACTGCAGAAATACCTGTCCCCAGTTCTAAGTTCCTTCTTGCACCACACACAGAGCTGTGTGAGTTACTTCTACCAGAGGGATGGGTTAAACCAGAAATATCTGTCTTTCCCCACTGTGGTAATCTGCAGCTCAGGGGCATCCCGAGTCAGGTATTGAGAATCTCTGGCTTAGAAATCCTTAACAGACCTTTTGTTTGTCAGCCCCTGGTTCTGGTTTTTTTTAACTGATTTTAACTTTTTACCATCTGCAGCCTCCTTGAGTAAGAAGGGGCTGTGGAACGTGCAAAGAGTTGTGCAGAGGAACTTTCTGCTAATTTAATTTGATGCTCCTCAGTGCTCTGTGTGATCCAGGCTATAAGCAGGGGCCACAACACTCAGCTTTCTATAACTCTGAGAAATTCCTTCCTACTTAAGTCCTGTTTTCTGCAAGCTGAAGTTTTTGTTCCTTGCACAGAGAGCCTTTCCTCTAAGGATCACCCCTTTCATTTTACAGTTCCACGTTTGTGCTGTGACACCAGGGCAGCACCTGATAACTCCAGGTAAAGCAGCAATGCTGATTTCTGTGGTGGCAGATATTCTGTTCAGATCCTTGATCCTTTACTAACCATTCCTGACATTCACTTTGGTTACTGTTGGTGCTTGACCTGACCTTTTGGTAGAACTGAATATTAGAAGCTCAGATCTCATTCCTAAGCGCTCATATCTAGCTCCAAGTTCAACACTGCTTTGGGGTTTTATATCATATGTGTTGCCTAATATATGTCTGTGGGGAATTCCACCTGCCTTTATATCGGGTGCCCAGACACCCAGTGGGTGAGCTTTTTTCCTGCTACTCTTTGCAATTCCTTCTCTTACTGACTTCTTGAAATAATTAAGTATCATCACCGATCTTAACCACCTGGGCTTTTACCCCTGCACACTCCCCAGGTCAGCACAGAGCTGGAAGCTCTCCAGCTGTGTTGGCTCTTCACAAGGAGACCATCTTTATCCAGGTGTTAGTGAATTCTGGTTTTAATAGACAAAAATAAATCCTTCAGCAGAGAACCTCTGGTGATTTTTTTGGCTGTTCCCATGGTACCTTGTCCCCGTGTTCCCACTGGTGTTTTTCAGCTCTCTGTCTCCTTTTTAATGAAGCTTTTTTTAGCTCTGCCCTCAAAAAACTGTCAAGATTTATTATTTATATAATCCCTGGCACAAAGAGCCGTGACCTTTGCTTTTGCTTATTATATCCCTTTATAATAACATTCAACAATAAGTTCTGAGCAATGTTCTCTAAATAGCTTATTATATCAGTTTTCAGAGGAGAATAAAATATCTGACTTTCTACCCTAGTTTTCTTTCCCATTTCTATGGTGCTATATTCGTGTCTAGATTTTGAGAGGAAAGATATGATCCACCTAAAGTTTTATCAGATACTTTGATTTTGAGATGACCTTTAATCTCTGTCTATGCTACCCATGGTCCACCCTCAGAGACTCCTTTGCCATCTCTCCAGGGTTACCACGTACAATTAAGTAGCTGAACAGGTTGTTGTTATTTAAATCTATTTGAAATTCTAAATCTGGGTCGTTTTTTTCTTGTTTTAAATTTAACTAATTCATCAAAGTAACTCAAGGAATGGAATTGTGTAATTGCCATGGAAATGTAGGGCACGTTGGATATTCAGCTTCCTCATCTTTTTTTGTGAGACTGGGTGTGATGTCACAACTGTTTTGTAGTACTCAATGACCTCTATCTGATCTTTGTACTTGTTTAATAGTGTGTGGAATGAAAGCAAAGCTAATAGTATAGATATAATTAGATTAAAGAAAAAGTAAGACAAAAAATTGTAAAGTTGTAAAAAATTTCTTAGCCCTCTTGCCTCAGTAGGTTTGGTAAAACTAACTTTTGTTCCAATTATCAAATTTTTCAGCTTATATTTTTTTAAAAAATGAGGGATGGGAGGGTTATTTCCTATCGTTATTCACTTAATTACTAGTTACCAGTCATAGTGACAAGATCGATGTAAACCAAGCGTAAATATACAACATTTCAGTGACTGATATTTCACTGTGCTTGTTTGTTTACTAAATGAGGAATAGATGGCAGGAAGCAAACTGAATTTCTCTGTGTCATTGAAACCTCGTGGGTCTTGCACACTCTCCGTGCTGGGCCCAGAGGTGCCATGAGACTGAGCCAGTCCTGGCTTTGTCAGATTGTTTCAGGTACCAGCTAGAAATGCATCCTGCTGTGTGTCCCTTATGTTCAGTTTCCACAAATCCTCTAGACTTTACTAAGTTCAGGGCCTGCCATAACCTCGGAGCAGATTGGAAAGAGGTTCTCAGTGAGAGCCACGGTAAAGTAAAAATGGGATTTTTATTTACCAGAAAGAGCAAATTGCCCTGGTGCTTTGCTCTCTGCTGGTGAGGTGACTGAGACATCCTAAACAGAGAGTTTTGCCACCCCTGTGGTGCCTGAGGAGTCCCACATGCACGGCAGCAGCTGCTGTGACCTTCAAGCGTGGTGCTGCAGCCATTCTGGATGGTCTGTCTTCCCAGCACTGGGGTGCTGTGGGGGAATAAATCCTGCCCTGGGCAGGCAGACTGGCCTCGTTTTGTGCTTGGGTTAGATTGCTGGTGGCTTTGCTTCTCCCTCCGTGGAGGTGGAGCCGTATTTGGAAGGTGTCACATAATTTATCACCTGAGCAAAATGCTCCGAGTCCTCTCTGGAGTCCTGTGGTTCCCCATCTCGGGGCACGGCGTGCAACAAAGTGGGGAAGCAGCTGAAACACAAATGGATTTGTGCTGGGAAACTCAAATGTCTGCCAGTTCTGGCTTTGTGTGAAGGGTGCTGAGGATGGGGCTCACCTTCACAGAATCACAGAATGGTTTGTGTTGGAAGGGACCTTAAAGCTTATCTAGTTCTGAGCCCCTGCCATGGGCAGGGACACCTTCCACCAGCCCAGGTTACTCCAAGCCCCGTCCAGCCTAGCCTTGGACACTTCCAGGGTTCATATTTTCACATCTAATTTGAAGTGAGATAAGCAATATGCACCTAAATTCTTACATCAGAGTGAAAGGGAATTGACTGAAGAGTTGCAGCTGCCAAACTCTCACAGTGTTTGCTCTTTGCTCCACTCAGCTGCTGAGTGGGCTCTGAGAGCAGCAGTTTCTAGAGCTGGAGCAGAGCAGCTTTTGTTCTGCTTCATAACTATTTGCTGGTTAATAATGAATTTGTTTCACCTGCAAGACTTCCTTGTGAGGAGGATGTGGCAAGGCACATCTTGTTACTGTCCCCGTGAACCCTTGCCACAGACCTCTCCGTGATGGTTTCTCCACTTGCCCTGCTGGGAAGGACAGTAGAGAGCACTTTAGCCAGGATGAGAATGAGATGTCCATGGTGTCGCCTGCACAAGTGGGTGAGAAATCTGCAGGAGAATGCCCTCAAAGTAAAAGAGCAGTCTTACAAAGCAGATTGCTCCCCAACCATAAAAAGAAAAAAAAAAAAAAAAAGTCAAGAATTTGTACATTTTACTGTCCTTAAACACAAATGTTCTTAAACCACTTTCCTTTCAGGTATCAGCAACGCAGAGGCCCGTCAGCCAGGCAAAGCCCCAAACTTCAGTGTGAACTGGACAGTAGGAGACACCGGCCTGGAGGTCATTAACGCCACGACCGGCAAGGACGAGATGGGCCGCGCGTCCCGCCTGTGCAAGCACGCGTTCTACAGCCGCTGGATGCGCATCCACGCCAAGGTACGGCCCCCACACCGCCACAGCTCCCACCCCACCGCTCAGGGGAACAACCTCTGCGTGCTCTCTGTGCTCTGTTTTAAGCTGAGTGTTAGAATCGTGGCGTCATTAAGGGCTGGGAAAGATCCTTGAGGTCATCAAGCACCTCCACCGTGTTCACCATTAAACACCTCCTCTAGTACCACATCCACACTTTTTTTTTTTTTTTTTTTTAACACTTCCAGCGATGGTGACCCCACCACTTCCCCAGGCAGGCTGTTCCACTGCTTTACAACTCTTTCCACATATTTTTTTTTTCCTAATACGTAAACTAAACCTTCCCTGGTGCAAACTTGAGGTCAGTTAGCTACTGCCCTGTGCAGTAATGCAGAAGAATATGTGTTTGTTAACTTACTCTTTAACATGGTGATGTCTGGTCCAAAATGCATACTCCTTGGTTTATGGCTGACTAAGGATGCTGTCTCCTTTGAACTTGCCTTCTCACTTGAATTTCTTTGGAAGGATCATCCCATTTTCACTGCAGTTGAAACTACTGAGGTTTTGCTTTCTCCTCTCAGACAGAAAAGCCACCAGAAAGCGCGTCCGTGGCTTTCTGGCCTCAGCCATTTTGTTTGGTAGATTCCTTAACGTTGTTTTAATATTAGTTGTTTGAATAACTCAGTCACTCTCAAACTGTTGTCTTGTCTCTCCTCTCTCCTTGTCTGTCACCCCCACAGCTTTCCTCCAGCTTACGCTCCAAGATCCTCAAGCCCAACCTGTACCACGATACCAAGCAAGGAGCCACCGAGTATCAAACTGCCAAAGAGTGTTTGTTTAAAGCATTCCTGAAGGCAGGACTTGGAGCCTGGGTGGAGAAGCCCATAGAACAGGATCAGTTTTCTCTCACGGTCTAATTCACAAACTGCACATCACTTTGGAAAGGGAGTTGCTCTGGAAATTCCTGGTGTCCAGCATTGCTTTCTGGCATCTCCACAGCCATTAAAACATCTTCGTTGCTGTTTGGAGTTGGGTTTCTTTGGGGTTTTTTTGGAACTTCACAGTAACTGTTTCTGTTTCGCCTGAGTGTTGAAACTCAATGATGATCTGACACATAATTGTATATTTTGTTATAGGAAAGTAATTTCTGGTGTATTTCTAGAAATACTTTTGCTGTAGAAAACTTGCAGTAAGGCTCTCCTTACTGTATACAATGACTCATTTTTTCTGGGTTAAAATAATTTCTTTTTTTAATTCAATGTCATCAAGTGCATGAAGAAATTAGAAGTTTCTCTAGGTTTTACACCACACTTTTAGGAAGTAGCTTAATTTTTTAAAAATAGGTGACAAAGCTGATTCTACTGCTCTGTTAACTTGTTTTTGAACTGCAGATATTTTTAGCACATAGACCACAGAGCCAGAATGGAGTCTGGACAGCTAGTTTTTTCCCAATTCCTTGCTCTTTAAAACCAGCTGCTGAAAATTTCATGTCTTTGATGTATGTATTTATTAGTCTGTGACCCAGTTTTTAACATGCAGCTTTTTATTCTGTTTTTAAAAATACATTTACCTCCCATTTACACCCATTGTGAAGTCTTCTTTTTTTTTTTTTTTTTTTTTTACCATTGTAAACTGGAAACAGCAAAAACAATTATTTGTAAGTTAAGAAGTTTAGTCTGTAACGTGCAGAGGCCTGTTTAGAAGTAGGTGACTTGTATATCCCAGGAACTCGTCAGAACACAACCTTAAACTGTAACAGTGATGTGACAGCTTGAAAAAGAATTTTGATCACTTTTAAGGGCGCTAAGCCTGAATTGCCAAAACCAGTCCCCTGTTGGGTCCTAATGAGAAGCTTTTGTAATGGATAAAACAGCTGTTGAAACTCTCTTCCTGGGAGTTACATCTGCTTTCACCCACGTTGTTGTGTCTCTGAGGTTTCACTGCCTTCTGGCTTTACACCTGCAATGGGCTTCGCGAAGCTAACTGGGTGCATTCATTTGTTTTGACTATTACTTTAAAAGGTGTCATTCCCAAAGGTGTAGGCACTTCTGCTTTATGTAAAAACTGTAAGATAGAAGCAAAATATTGCGAGGTGCGTTCGAGGAGCTGCTGTAGAGAAGGAGGTTTTTAAAACCGCTTGTTGGTTCGTGACATCAGTAGCAGAGGAGTCAGTGTGTGGTACAGGACGTGTCCAAACACATCCCGTGGCTCGTGCCGGGGGTGAGGTGTCCCCTGTGCTTTGTGAGGAGCACCTTGGAGACCCTCTGTGCTCCCTGTGCACACGAGGGGACGCTCCGTGGCGTGGCCAAACCAAACCTGACCCAACCAGCGCTCCAGCTCCGGGCTCCTGTCCTCTGCTCCACTGCCCCTGGCCTGTGCCACACACGCAGGAGGTCAGACCAGCAGGCTGGTCCGTGCTCCGAGCTCAGGCAGGGGTTGCTCATAGACCCACATTGGGTCGGTGGCGCGGTTGGAGCTGTGCCGGTGCCTCTGCGGGGCGGTGGAGCCGAGCGGGACTCGGTTCAGCTGCGTGGCCAAGGGCCTGTGTGTTGTGGGGCTGGGACTGGAGCCAGGGCACCCCAGCCCCCCAGCACCTCTGGGTGTTGGAGACTTTGGTTTAAAACCACTTCAGGACAATCATGAATGCCAAGACGTTGCTGCTCAAGTAGGAACCTGTTTCCCACTTCAAGAAGTGACCAAACGTGAAAATCACTCGTGCATTAGTTGAAGCCTCTGGGTTAGTGTCTTGGAGGTAAGGCACTGAGGTGCAAACAGTATATTTGGGTGATACTGTGGATAGTGGCAAACACTGCTGTGGGAGGGCAAGTGAGTCTGTGACCTAGGGATGCCCTCGGAAAAGCCTGGTGCTTCCAGAGGTTACTGCCTTTTCCAGATGCCAGAGGAACAGGCTGCAATAGGTGGGCTGTGCTAATTCACCCTCGTGGGTGGCTTCAGCCACCCTGTCTGCTCCTCATTAAAACTAAAAGCACTCCCACGGCCTGCGCAAGCCCAGCAAGGCTCTTGCAGTCATCATCCAGCTGAGGTGTACACTGACCTGTTCCAGAAGGAGTTTAGCACTGGGGCGTTGGCCTTGCCGTGTTCACGTGGCAGGAGTTCTGTTTGGGGGCTGTGGCTGAGTGTGGGAATGTTTCTGCAGGGGGGAGGAAACGCTGGTCACGCCGTGTGCGTTTTCTCGAGGTCCTTACTGCTCTTGGTCCCTTAAAAACGTGTATTTCACCTCACTCAAAAGTTGGTGTCTCTCTGAAATTTTTTTTTTGAGGACTAGAAAAGTAGTAACTCGAACTATTTATTTTTTTTTTAATGAAGTCAAAAATATGAGGAAAACATTTGTGTTATTGTAGACATAGTTTTTTAAGCTGTTCGAATGAACAATCAGAATCAAACTGTAAAGGAGATGCGTTCTATGCCAAAATCCTTTGACAAAGGAGTGGTGTCAGGTTATTTATGAGGAATGAGTTGTCCTGTTTATAATTCTGGGATTTTAAAAAGAAGTTTTCCAGGGTTGTGTGCAATCCATATCTGTCGTCTGGGAGTCAATAAAACACTGCTTGGCTTCCTTCAATCCCTTGTTGCTTTCTGTGCAGTTCACACGTGGCAGGAAGGTGGGAGGGTTCCCTGCAAATCGCTACCACTTGAGCAAGAAGGGATAGTGATGCATCTAATTTCAAGTGACTGCAAAAGATGAGGCAGCTCAGCCTCTGGCAGCTGCCGAATTTTTTGGGATACCAGTGCTGGAAGGCTGAGGGGTCTGGAAAGCTGGGTGGGTGGGAGCCTGCCCAGGGGACTTGCACTGCTGCTCTAGGAGCTGCTTCTGTTCCTTTACTTTTTTTTTCCCCCTCTTATTTTTGCTTGAATATTCATATAATTATTTTGGTGGAATATTTATATAAATGTAATTGAGTGTTTGTCTCAGGATCTTCAAAGGACTTAGAGTAACAACTTTAATGTTGATGAATACTTGAAATCTAATTTAAGGTGGGTTTTTTTTGTTTTTTCTCCAGATGGCAGTCTGGCTATAGTAAAGTTTGTAGGTTAGGAAAGTGGATAATTTTAAATATAGATGTTTGAAATATATATATATATGTGTATATATATATATATATATGTTATGCAGGATCATTTTAAGAAAATCTGGGCCTAAAGGTTAACACTTGAAATGTTGCTTATGGCTGTACTCAGGACCTGGTAGTAACTGTAAATTATTTCTTGCTGCTTGTGTGTGTGTTTCATGTAGAGCCTGTTAACCACAGCTCTCCCCCAGCGGTGTGGATGTCCCACAGGTAGCGATGGGAATGGTGGCTCTGCTTGCTTAGGGATGTACAGCAGTGGGGTTTATGTGCAGGTGGCAATTCTCATCCTGTCCTGGTCTTAGAGGGATCTTTTAGTGGCTGGTTAGTGCATAGGAAACTCAGGAGTAGAAGGGTTTTGGGTGCTGTTGCTCTAAATCTGAAATAAGTTGCTGCTGAAAGGGTTTCAGGACTGGTGTTTGCATTTCATCAGCCCAGTTCTGGAGCCAGGCTGGGAGACCTGGGGGTGTTCAACCAGGAGAAGAGAAAGCTCTGTGAGAGCCCCTTCCAGTGCCTAAAGGGGCTCCAGGAGAGCTGGAGAGGGACTGGGGACAAGGGATGGAGGGACAAGACGAGGGGGAATGGCTTCCCACTGACAGAGGAGAGATTTTGGTCAGATATAGGGAAGAAATCCTTCCCTGGGAGGGTGGGCAGGCCCTGGCACAGGTTGCCCAGAGAAGCTGTGGCTGCCCCTGAATCCCTGGAAGTGTCCAAGGCCAGGCTGGACGGGGCTTGGAGCAACCTGGAATAGTGTGTGGCGTCTCTGCTCGTGGCAGGGGGTGGGACAAGATGAGCTTTAAGATCCCTTTCAACCCAAACCATTCCATGATTCTGCTATGGCCAAGAGTGCCATCTACCCCGGGGAAAACCCCAAACTCACCCTGCTATCAGTGCAAACGTGCACGAGTTCAAACTGTTGTTTCAGAGTGTTTGGTAGCAAGAGGCAGAGCCTGTGTCATGGAGAGGTGCTGCCTTTGGAAACCAAGCTGTGTTTAAAACAAATAACCAGCCAGGAATCGAGATTCAGGTCTGAGAATTGACTTAGTCACGGTCACCACATAATTAAACTTTTGGGGGGTTTTAAATATCCATGGTTTTCAAAATGGTTTGTTATTGCCATTCCTTAAATTAATGCTTGGAAGGCTCACACTTGCAGAGGAGCTGCACTTTGCATTCTTTGCCTTTTTATCATCATAAAACTGTCCACTGTGAAAATTATCCCAAATTTTACTGGAAAGGAGGAAGAGTTGCAATTCAGGGATACAGTCAGAACAAAAAATGTCTCGTGTCACTTAAAACCTGAAAACCCGCAGAAATGAAATGTATAAAACACAACTGTCCTGTTTCAGAATCACCACGCGGTTTTTGTTGGGTTTCTTCGTAGAATTGTTTATTTACTTATTTATTTTGTAATAGGCAGTGTTTTCAGCTGAGCATAAAAGATTCCTGCTGGGAAAGGAGGTGTTGTTGATCCTGGGGTTACCTAGAGCTGACAGAGGGACCATTTTGGGTTGATTCCCTTGTGTAGGCAGGAGTGAGTTCTGGGGGTAGTTGTGTTTTGTCTTCTCCCGTCATTCCAGGAAAGAGGGATCGAGAGCCGTGTTTGCAGCCGGCCTCAGCCAGTGGAACAGTTTAAGGAATATCTGTTCTCTGGAGGGAAAGGTCCACAGTCGATGTCACTGCAGTACTTTCACATTTTTAACGTCGTCGTCGTCATCGTACCAATATAATTTCTGTCGTAGTTTGGCTGAGGCATCCTTTAACAAATTTAAGATCAAAGAGGTGTGTGTGTGTGTGAATATGTATTTATACAGACATATATATATATATTGCTGTATATTATTTGCATTAAGCAGTTATTCCTCCCCCGTCTTCCTGTGTGATAGTGCAAATCCATCGGTTTTACCTGCCTTGGTGTAAGGATATTAAAGAACACTCTCAGATACTGTCCTCGACACTTACTTTCTCCATTCATAACCCCGACTTTGACGACAAGACCTTGTTATACCTCTGGTTTGTTGCTTCCCTTCCATCACCCTTGTTCCTCTCCCGGTGTCACCGCTGAAGCACAACCCATTGGTCGATTAATTCCAAGCAATGACTGTTTTGCATACTACCTTGCTTTGTTTAAGTAATGTTTGTACAGAGAATTCAAAATATAAAGAGCTATATCATTGCTAAGTTTCATCATTATTTTTTTTTGTATCAGTATTTGCTGGTGGCAGCAAAGCAATAAGTGAAACGTTAAAAATACTGTGCGTGCCCTTAAAATGGTGGTTTTTGGTTACAGCCTGGAGAGCTGGCTGGAGCATGGGAGAGGGGAAGGCAAGAAAGTATGTGACGGGTCTGGGACTCCAGGGTAGACACGTGGCCTGTGCCAGGGTGTGGGAAGGGCTGTGCCACTGCTGCTGCACTTCAAAAATGCTGGTTTGCACTCAGATCCCACGTGGGTGTGTCCCTGACTTCTGTGGACTCCTAGGTGGTCTCCAGGGTTTCCCTCCCCGCCTGTGTCTGACACTGGGTTGGGATCGTGGTGCGAGTGGTGGCAGCCTCGAGCCCTGCTGTGGGGAGAACTGGGTGATCCCCCCGAGGTGCCAGCACTGCCCAGGGTGGGAACCCAACTCCCCCCGGCTGGGGACAGCAGGAAACCAACCACCTGAGGCTCACCTCTGATCAGCACCTGTCCCAGCAGAGCAGCAGAGTCTGGTTCTCCAGAGAGCTGCAGCGATGGCTGAGGAGGGGCAGAGAGCCGCTGACATGTGGGCTGGGTGGATCCAGCCCTCTGGAAGCAGGTGCAGAGCTCACAGGCCACCGAGACGCTGCTTTCCCCGTGTACCTTTTCGTGCACCGACAAAGCCAGCTGTTCATCTGACCCTGCGTGGAGGAAATCCATCCTAAAAAGGAGTTAGATCCAGGTCAGTTCTGCTCCACTGCCAGCTGCTCGTGGGACTGAGTGGATTGCAGCCCTCGGGCAGGTATTTGTTCTCCCCATCACCTGACTCATCAGATCAGTTTCTGTTTGGGAACAGGAGCAAGGTGGGAGGTCCCCGGCACGGGTGATGCACCCTTTTTGGAAAGACACTTCGTAAGCTCTGTGACCTTTCCTAGGAACGAGAGGGTACGCAAAGACCGGGCGTGAACAAAAGAAAACTCCCATCGAGTGTGGAAGCGTCCTCTGAGATGATGGCTTGATGGGTTTAGGTTGGACTGGATGCTCTCAGAGGTCTTTTCCAACCTCACTACTTCCCTGGTTCCGTGCTCCTGTCACCGGCCTCGTGCTCCCCAGCTCGGCCACAATTTGGGTGACGCCGGAGAAGTGGCACCACGTCGAGAGGCACCAGGCCCAGGAGCAGCTCCTGGCCAAGGCACGTGTCCCCACAGCCTGGTGGGGCTGGGTTTTGTCCAGCCAGGTGACAGCCCTGCCTGCTGGGGCCGTCTTGGCTCAAGGATCTGTTGCGGCAGACTCAGAGGTAGGTACTCGATGGAGGGTGGTGATGGCTGGGGCGGGAAGGGCAGGCGGAGGAGCTGTTCCCCTGGAGGTGGAGCTGCGTTTACTCAGTCTACTTGACTTTGAAAATCAGTGCCTTGTGGCAAATCCCTCTCTGAGGTTATGGGACAGCCAAGTCTGGTGCGTTATCAGAAGCACCAGCCTGCAGATACAGTAGCATGTTTTAATCGATTTTTTTTTTTCCTCTGTCCTCTATCTAATCTCTACCACAGCCTCATACAAAAAGTTGGGCTTTGAACTTCAGTTCCAGACTCTTCGTAAATGGCCAGAATCACTGCAGCTCACCCATGGCCCTGCTGCAGTGGGAGCGCAGAGGTTGCACCTTGGTGACACTGATTTGGCTCTTCCTGTTGAGACACCAGCCCAGACACGGTGACCTTGGCTGCTAAAAACATCAGTTCTCTCCCTCCCAGAGCTGGCACTGAGGTAGGGCTGTAGTTGGCAGGCACATGCCATTGTCCCCAGGCAGGGACAAGGCTCTGTTTGAAGCCGTGGTTTGGCTTCGCATCTCCATGGGTGAATGTGTGAGACTCTAAACCAAAGCAAACAAACAAGACTCTCACACGCTTGTTCCCAAATAACCTCTGACCACTGAGGTCACACGCCCTGACAGAGCAGCATTTTGAGAACGTGTCTACCAATGTGGACAAATGTGCACCAATCCTATTGCACACAGCCCTGGTTGAAGGTAATTTTTAACTGTTTTGATGACCAAATTAATTTATTTCTTCTGTACATCTCCAATATGTATTTTTTTTTTATACATACACACCCAGTGTCTCCTAACTAAACTACAGTAATCATGCCATGGGGTCAAAGATGCACTAAGTCAAAGCCAAATTTGATGCACAGTGCCTTAAGCACAGGAATGTTCCCTATCTACAGCTTTCTGTTTTGCATACAGGTGTCAGATTATCAATTTATACTCAGTATTAAAAAAAAATTACTGGTAAAATTTAACGTAAAGACTATATATTGTTCAAAATCATGTTGCTTCAGTGCTAAATTTGCCCTCCAGCTGTCAAACGTTTTTACCAAGTAGGAGCTCAACATAGTAAACGAATGGCCACAGCTGACAAGCTACTTACTTTATGTAGGCCAAGAAACAAATAAATAAAATACAAAATAAAAATAGTGTGAGAGGTAGATGGACTCTTTGGACTTTGCAAGAGTGAGAGTGTATGAGGGTGCATACAGGTGAGGAAAAAAGTTGCACTATACACACAAAAAGGGAATGCCAAAGGGCTCCTGTTCTTAGACTGTTCGTATGGGAGCAGCTGCTGGATGTTTTCAGGTTTGAAGGTGGGCTCTGAGAGAGAGCATAACTGAATGTGATGACACAGCTGAGCAGGAAGGTGCAGAGCAGCACCATGGGGGGACAGCAGTTCCCTGGCTGCGAGGGGGAAGCGACGGTCACTTGACGGGGACGAGAACAGCAGTTTCCAAATGTCAGGGCCCAGCTCTGAGCTCGCATTTGTCTGTGTAGAGTTGTGACTGGAAACTTTTCAAAGTTTGGATTCAGACTGCAAGAAGGACAGATTTGTGACGGCACAAATCGCTCTGGGAGCTGTGGCAGCTGCTCCCAGCTCTGCTGCCTCCCTGCTCAGCTGCCCCAGTCCCTCAGGACAGGCCTTTGGGCTCTGGGCCCCACCCGAGCGGGGTTGGCTCTGCAGCCGTTCCTGGCTTCACAGCACACCGCTGTGTTCCTCGCAGGACAAGAGCATCTCAAGCCTCAACAAAAACCTCTTGCAGTGCCACTGTGACCTTCCTATCCTGTACATAGCTCTGCTGGCACCTGATGCTTCCTCTGTAAGTAGCCAGTGGTGCAGGTATTTGGTACATGATGGCATCCAGTTGATCAGGGTTAGTTTTAGCTTTATGTGTTAAAGACTTTTAATTGTATTTAAGTTGTACATGTTCGAATTTCAGTTGTATTGAGTTGTATTAATGGTATTAAATGGGGATTGTATTGATTTAAACTGCAGTCCATTTTGTTAAATGTGAATTTTATTAAACTGCGCTCAGAGGAGGCCCTGAGGGGACAGGGTGTGGGAAGGCCTGACCAATTGGGGGGCAGAGGCCATAAACAGCCCCCAGGCAGCCCCCTGGTTCCCTGCCAGCCGGCTGCTCTGGCGCTTCCCCAGGGCATCTCCTATCCCAAGGGGTGGGTGCTGCAGGCTCTTCCCTGGGAGCAGGAGCAGTCCCTGCCTGCTTTGATTCCTGTGGCAGCTCGGTTCTTCCCGGGGGAGAGGCTGGTGCTCCCAAGGTGAGCATGGACAGAGCTCTCCCGTCCTTCAACCTAAAACCCCACAGGGAAGCACGTACGGTATTTCCCCACAGTTCTCCCTTATTCTTTTGTGCTCTCGCAATACTGAAGCTCTTGTATTTCTCTTGTATTTAATAGACAATTTTCCAGTGGGTTGGCTGCTCACAGTTTTTCTCTGTTTCACCACAAAATCGGTTGTAAGTTGTTTTTGGATCAAATCCCAAGATCTCCCTTTCCTCGTGGATTCGGAAGGAAAATGTTGAAACTGAGGTGCCTATAAAATACCTGTGGAAAAAATCAGAAAGAGTATGTGAGGGGGGACCAAGTTTTTAAATGCAAACAATTGATTTCAGTCCAATGAACTTTACTGTTCATTGAAATGATACAATAAATGAAATGATAAGAGATATACATCTCTATACACAATATAACTATTATGTAATTGAGATGTATACTATAGATGTATATATCTTATATGATTTGTAAACAACTACAGCTGGGCCAAAAATCATGTTCGGTCTTGTGACAGTGACATTAAGCTTTGGCTCTTCAGATAAAAAGTCAGGCTCACTACCTCGCGTGTGCACAAATCCACTGGTCAATGACAGCCAAGCCCCCATCCTTATAGAGCTCCAGCTCCTCCCAGGAGGGTTCAAACCTCACCATCTCGGGCAGCAGTTTCTTCAGCAACTCAGTCTCTGAGAAAAGGAAAGACACAATTTTACCCCGACCTTACGAAGAACAACTTCAGAGGACCCCTTCCCACCAGCATGCCCAAGAGTCTCTGAAATGGTAAGAGGAAATGTGGGATGGAAGAAAGAGGAGGAGGAATAGCCAAATTCAATGCCCAACTTCCCACTGTAGAGACTGTTAAGCCTTCTGTGGCAAGTGAATGGTTTGATCCCAGCTACTCAAGCTGGAAGGATACGGCTGCCCAGACCTGCTCAGTTCCCATTCAGTGATGGAGGCATAGGAACTCCCAGTCATTTATAAAGGTGAAGTGGTAATTGCAGCACTCATTGTCAAAAGTTACCAACCCTGAAGTGAGTGGGATCTGCCTACCCTCCTCGACAGCATCAGTGGCTACAAAAACTTTCTCGAGCTTAAGCGTCTCCAAGAGGCTGCGGATTTTCTTTACTGCTCCCTGCAGGGAAGGCACATCTTCTCTGTGACCCCAGATGAAGTCTTTCCTTCTGAGATGAACCCCAAGGTACGGACCACCTAGAGCTGTGCCCGTCTTAACCTACGAGACAAAGATCACCAAACTTTAAAAGTCGAGAGCGCTGCTGTGTGTTCACACCAAACGGGCCAGAACGCATCACCTCTGGATAAAAGGCACCGAATCGCTCCAGCTGCAGCAAGAAATTCACACCAACTCATTGATGCTGAATGCAGGAAGCAACTCAAGTTTCCTTTACCAAAATGAAGGCAGAAAAGATCTGCCACCATGCCCTGCAGCACAAAAACGAAACAAAAATCACATCTGCTGCAGGACACAGACCGTCGTGGTTCTACCTTCATCTGTGTCCAGTCCTCCTTGTAGTGAGTCCTGTCTGCCTCATCCGTGGACTGGAGGTGCTTCCTCCTGAACTCGTCTCCCACCACACGGAGGTGTTTAGCGAACACCATGCTCCGACGGGTCTGGGGGGGAACAAGAGCAGAGGCCGAGTTGGGGAAAAAAGGAGAGCTAAAAATGAGGAAACGGAGGTGGCTGCACAGGCACAGCACTTTCAGAATGCGGTTACTTCTGGGACATCCATGTAGCAATATAAGCAACGGTTTCTGACCTTTCATCCGAGATGGAGCTGTCTAATTCTATTTATAATCAAATTTATAACCAGCACACTCACCTGCCCCTGCCATGCATAGGTGTAGGGAGTGAACTGCAGTTACCACTGCTCACAGTCACACATGGCGCTTTTATTAACAGGCACACGCAACAGAATGAAGGAAATCCCAGTGGCTTACGCTGCTTACGGAGGATACTTGGCACTTTGGTCTAATTCTTCATTTTATGCAAGTCTGTCGTGTGATGGCCACCCAGAAGGTGCAACAAAAACACTCCAGGCCAAGGCCTTTTCTGTTTTCCCTGTTGAACTGTCTTTATCTCAACCCATGAATTTTTCATGTCCCTGCGGCTAAGACTCTCAACTTTTTCTTAAAACTTTTAGCATAGGAATTATTTTACTATACACCCTTGGGAGGGGTTTCCCAAAGTGATCAGAGTTACCTTGGAACCCGTGGGAATTTTGCCACCGAAACCAATATGGAGAGAGCTTTGGGGAATTCTTTTGAGAAGTCTAACCTTGAGGTTGACTAAAACAAGACACTGCTCCCCTCTGAGTAGATGTGTTGTACAGGGGAGGGCCTTAGGGACAAAAGAGGACAAATTCCTGTGTTACATTAATCCACAGCAGCTTGAAGACCATCTCTAGCACACCTTGCTGAAACGTAAGACACGAGTTACTTTCAGGAAAAGAAACCCGAGGGAAAACTCAAAGCCTGTGGAGGTTAATGAATTTTTAGCAGAGGCAAGTACAAAGTCTAGAGAAGCTAACTGAAGAATACTCACATTCCAGTAATCTTTCCCTCCGTAGTGGTCATGAAGAAGGTTTTCAGCTCTGTCTAACATCACTGACCTATTAAAAAAATTGTAAAACTGAGTGCGGTTCCCTTGGGAATGAGATTTACATTACAACATGTGTTTCTTTATACATTTGCTAGGATAAAGCACGAGCTATGATCTGTTTGCAAGGGGAGCAGAGGGAACGAGGGACAGGCTGCCAATCTGTTTACAGCAACTCAGTGGTGAAGCACCAGAACAGTGGGGTACAGCCTTTAAGCTCCCCCTGCTCTTCACACCTGGGAACAGGTCTGCGGGCACACAAGGCAACAGCAAACAGTAAGACAAGGAAACTCACTGTGCTGAAGTGTTCTTCAGAAGGATGGGAGCCACGATGGAAGCAGATCCTTGGACGGACAAACAGGAGACGGTCAGGCCTCGTGTTTCCTCGTAGCCCCAGAACCAGCCCCTAAAAGGGAACACCAAGGATTGGTTTAAAGAAGTGTATTTTACATTAATGCCATATATAATAGCAACACAAATAAGCAGTGCATCCCAGAAAGGCAAAATATAATGCCAGCAAACCAGCCACCTCCTTTATACTGTTTTGGTGCAGAACAACAACTTTCTGAAGTTAGGTTTACTCACATCAATATGTTTTATTATTGATGCATTTTTTTAAATACAAAGTGAACCCCAACCATCCAGGGATTCACAGACAACATTGCAACAACCACATGAGTCTATTTTGTTGAAAGCAGGCAACTGTCTCACTGAATACCAATGAAAAGAAGACCAAAAGGACTGCTGGACATTACCTGTAGTAGTCATGCTTGTCCTTGGAGTACATCAGCTGATCAATGCATGGCCTTTCATTGATTTTTTCTTCCCATGTTCCTTCTTTCCATCCTTCTGCATAGCCTTGTAGCACATAAATCTGCTCAATAAAGGGCCCACCTGACTCTGAGCAGAAGGCAAAGCAAAGGATTTGTGAGCACAAAAACCCACGAGAAAGGTATGAACTAGCACCACTTGCAGTTAAAAATCTGCTACAAAAGCCAGCATGACACTCCTCTCTCTTCCCTGTTTTCCCTTTAAAAAACTGAAAACAAATTCTGTGTGAGCCAGAAAAGTTAAAAGGGTCAGGCAACGTGACCACCTGCTGCTCCCACCCAGCTTCTGCGTGATGTGATGTGCCAAACGCAGCGGTGTGACCATGGGAGTGCAAACCTGTGGTCAATACTAGGCAGAAACCGCTGTGAATTTAACCACGTGCATTAAACTCTCTGTCTCTGGGGGCCGGAGGAAGCTGACATCAAAACAAGGTGACACCAGACCAGCCGTGAAATAATTGGATTGTTTCATCCTAGCGGTTTTGTAACTCCGTAAAACTCCTTCCCAGCCACCCTCTCACCACCTCAAACCTTTTTTAATCATTTCACATATAAGGATAAAAGCCCTCTCTACGCTGTGAAGAAACCATCTGAGATATTTAGCCAACTGTAGAGCTGCACGATCCTATACTCCACCTGCAAGGAACTGCTCATATTCAATGACAGGGATGTTCCTGTTGAGGCTTGGGACATCAAAGAACTCAGACCAAGGGATCCGGACCTGAAGGATATCGGGGCTCTGCCAGTGATAAAGCCTCCCCCAGGGAGGCAGGACTAACACCCAGTTTTCACTTTTCCGCAGGGTCTTTACAAGGGAAGCAATTCGGACGTAGACATCTCTGCGGAGGTTGAACCCCTCAGGGGGATTTACATCGTACAAAAGGTATCTGGGGAAAACAAAGGAGTACAATACCTGAGTTACTTCGGGGATGAGCTTGAGACTTTTTACCACCCCACCCTCTGCCCCAATCACGCGGTGCAAACTCAGGCTAATTCTTGCGGGATGAACATAAAGGCAGGAGGAAACGTTCCAGAGGAGCAGGGGAAAAGGGTGCAACTGGGAGTTGGTGGGTCCTCTCGACAACACCTTCCAGAAACGACCGGCAGGTGAAGGAGGCCCTTTTGGTTTGTAGACACAGGGGGTGGGTCACTTGTGCAAGGGACCCACCATGTCCCCCCGGGAGACACGAGGGGCGTGTGATTCTAGTGGGCAGGATCGGCCTGGGGCTGGACACGGTGGTGGTGCCGCCGCTCCTCATGTCGGAAATGCCGTAACTTTCCTGAATTTTAATCAATGGCAGCCGGTGGCTGGGTTTCTTTGCACGGACTCCTGACCGTTTGATCTCTAAACCACCGAAGTTTCCCCGGGCTAGCTCCCATAAGCTCCAACACACAAAAGCCCGATGGAGATGAAGACTGGACACGGGGGACCTTCGATCTGTGCTCCTCTAAAGACACGCGTGGGTAAGCAGAAGACACAGAGATGAACAACGACATTACAGCCGGAACGCTGGGGACTCTCTGCCTGAGGAAGAACGGTAAGAGCACCAAGGAAGCGTTTCGGCGGGAGGGTTTTCGCCTCTCCCCGCGGCGCTCACCTGGTGCGCGGGGCGGCGGCGGCGGCGGGCAGCGAGGAGGCGGCGTGGCCGGCGCGGAGGGCGGCGGGCGGCGGCTCGGGGGCTTCGATGGGCACGGCCAGAGCGGCCAGGCCGAGCAGCAGCCACGGGGCCGCCATGCCCCGTCTTTCCCCCCCCGGTACGCCACGTCCGGGGCGGTCCCTCCTCAGAAGAGGCCGGCGGTGAGGGGCCGCAGCCGGGACCCGGTGAGGCGGTTCAGCTCCTCCAGGATCTCCGCTTCCTTGCGGTACATCTGCGGGAGCGGCCGCGGTCAGCGCCTCGCTGTCGGGACCTCCGGGCACCCCCCACCCCCCCACGCCTCTCCCCCCGGCGCGCTCCGCACCTGCTCCCACGCGTGTTTCGTGTCGTGCCGGTAGCCGAGCAAGTGGCACAGTCCGTGGGCTGCCGTCACCTGCGCAAGGGGGAAGAGCAACTGTGTGACCGACCGACCGACCGCGCCCGCTCCCCCGACCCACCCCCGGCGCTCACCACCAGCACGCCCTCAAAGTCCTCCCCGGCGTCGCGGCACTGCTGGTGGATGTACTCCACGCCCAGGAAGATGTCCCCCAGGTTGTACTCCCCGCGGCACCGCGGCCGCGGCAGCTCGCCGGGCTCCACGCGGTGGAACGGGAAGGACAGTACGTCGGTGGGCTCCGGGCGCTGCCGGTAGGCGCCGTTCAGGCGCCGCATCAGCGCGTTGCCGGCGCAGACGAGCCCCACGTCGAAGCGGGAGGCGCCCAGGGCGGCGCGCAGGGCGCACACGGCGCGGCGGAGCGGGGCCCGCCGCAGGGGGACGGAGCGCTGAGCGTTCCGCACCACCACGCTCATGGCGGTACCGCCACCGGGGCCCCGCCCGCCGGCACCGGGACCCGCCCGGACGGGCGGGTCCCGGTGCCGGCGGGCGGGGCCCCGGTGGCGGCGGGCGCGTCCCACCGGCCGAGTCACCACCCATCTCCCCGCCCGTGTAACCGCCCCCTCGGCCAACCGCCCGCTGCTACCATTCTGTCTCCACCCTCCGCAAGAGCGGCTCGCTCGGCCGCTCTGAGGCGGCCGCTGCCGCCGCCATGAGCTCCCGGGGCCCGTTCCGCGGCCCGCCCTCCTTCCCGGCGCCGCCGCCGCCTCCGCTGCGCTTCGGACAGTCCGCCGCGTTCGGCCAGGGCGGCGGCGGCGGCGGCCCCGCCGGCCTCCCCTTCGCCGCCGGGCCCGCCGCTCCCTTCGGGCCTCCCTACGCGCTGGGCCAGCCGCCGGCCCCGGCGGGCAACGCGGGGTTCAGCTTCAGGCCGCCCGCCAGCCTGGGCGGCTTCTCGGGCCCGGGCGAGGCGCCGGGCGGGGCCTTCGCGGCTCCTGAATTCCGCTTCAAGGCGCCCGAAAGCGCCGCCGCCGCTTCATTCAAGCCGGTGCCGGGCGGCGAGGCGGAGAAAGGCCCGCCCGCTCCCGCCGCCTTCGCCTTCTCGCCGCCCTTCGGCTTCGCGCCGGAGCCGGGCCCCGAAGCGGCGGCGGCGGCGCGGGAGTCCTTCTCGTTCTCGCGGCCCGCCGCCGCCGCCGCGCTGGGCCGGCCGGAGGACAGGGGCCCGCGGGCGCCGCCGGAGGAGCCGGGCGAGCCGGCGCCCAAGGGGCTGAAGCGGAAGGAGGAGCGGGAGCGCTCCCCGCGGCGTGCCGGGGGTGCGGTGGCGGCGGCGGGCGGGCGGTCGGCAGCGGCGGCGCCGCCGGAGAAGCGGGCGGTGGTGCTGAGCCGGCCCCGCGGCGGGGCCCTGTTCGGCCGCACGCTGGAGGAGATGCTGCGCAGCCAGGCCCGCGAGCACCGCGAGCGCGGGGACGGCGCGGAGCTGGAGCGAGGGGCCGCCGAGGAGCCGCCGCCGCCGCCGCCCGAGGCGCGGGAGCTCCCGCGGGAAGGTGAGCGGGGATGGTGGTGGGGATGGTGGTGGTGGGGCCAGCCCTGCTCTCTGACTGCCGACACCCCGCTTTCTGACTTTTCCTCCCCGCCGCAGATGCCGCCCCCGCCGCCCCCGCCCGCCGGGCCCGCGGCAGCGAGAGCACGGAGGGGCTGGGGGGCCTGCCTGCCGCCGAGCTGACGGCCATCCAGTGCAAGAACATCCCGGATTACCTGAACGACAGGACCGTGCTGGAGAAGCACTTCGGCCAGTTCGTGAAAGTCCGGCGGGTCATGACCAGGCGTAATAAGAAAATGGCTATTCTTCACTTTTTTGATCACGTGAGTGTCAGAAGTGGACGGCACAAGAGTTGGGAGTATTCAGCGTGGAGAAGATAAATCTCCGGGGATACCTTAGAACCCCTTCCAGTGCCTAAAGGGCGCTACAAAAAACAGGGAGAGTGACTTTTTACGGGCACAGCGGGTAAGGAGAGGACAAGAGGGAACAGTTTAAAGTAAAAGAGGAGTTACTTTTATGTTACTTATATGTTAAGAAGAAATTCTTCTCTGTGAGGGTGATGAGGCCCTGGCACAGGTTGCCCAGAGAAGCTGTGGCTGCCCCATCCCTCTAAGTGTTCAAGGTCAGGTTAGGTGGGGCTTGGAGCAACCTGGGCTAGTGGAAAGTGTACCTGCCCTTGGTAGGGGTTGAAGTTGGATGGTCTTTGAGGTCCCGATGCTGAGGTGTGTTAAGCAGCCAGTTCAGAGACTGCATGGTCTGATCCTGTTTTGCGCTTAAAAACACACCCTTGGTTTAAAGTGCTCTAAATTTGCTGTAGCTCTTAGAGAAGCACCATTTTTTTTTTTGTGGGAAGTAGTCCAGCTGATTGTTCTTAAGTGAGGGGTTAAAATGTAGGTCTTAAGTGAGAGGCTAAAATGCAGCAACCAGAATTCTGTGGGAGTGGGTAAACGCTTTTGTGGCAAAAACTGTGCTGTGAGTTTTGCTGTTGTGATGTCAACAGGTTTTCATGCTGTGCTTTCGTTTTCTTTCAGGCCTCTGCAGCTCTTGCCAGGAAAAAAGCGAAGGAGTTGCACAAAGACATAGTAACGTTTTGGCAAAAGAAGAAGACTAGTAAGTCTGTGTTTCCAGATTACTGGGTGATGTATAAATAGCATTCTAGTTGCTCCTCTTTTTTCCTGTTGTGCTGAGAATGATATCAAAATTATCTCTAGTAGGAAATACGGGTAAAAATTGCACTGTTTCTTTCTTAAATTCCTGTTTGCTTGATCTGAAGCAAAATGCTCTTTCAGCCATACAAAAGAGCTGAAGACACCTGAAATGACAGTGTAGTTTTAGAAGAGAATTCAGAAATCCTTTATGCAGCCACACAACAGGAATATGGTGATGTTAACTCTGTGCTTCTGTCTAGAAATGGGACTTCTTTGGGGGGGGTAAGAAAACCCAGTTTGAAATGCTTTGCTGTCTGCCTCAGACCATGGACTGGGAAGTTTTCAGGAAGCTGCCCTGAGAACCAAGTTAAGGAGTACTCTGGAGCTGAGTGTCCGTTTTGCTGAGGTTGCTGTTATGTGCATCAACAGCTACACTCTGTTTGAACCGCAAAAAGAGAACAACTTACAGAGTTTAGAATTGGGAAACCTTGATTCCAGACCCTGTTTGGGATTAGGAGGAGATTGTTAAACCCCAGGCAAACACTGGAATTGTCAAGTGCTTCCCTTTCTTTAGCTTCATGAATGCAGCATGTGCACCTGATCCCAGCCTGGGGATTCACTTTACCTGCAGCATATGAATGGTTCACTTCAGCTTTGACCAACTAGACCTGCCTTCCAGGAAACAGCTGCAGAGTTGTCTTGCTGAGAATTAGCATCTTGAAGCAGCAGCTCCAGGGCTGCCTCTTTGCCTTTGTCATTTTATTGTGGTGTTACATCCCCGGCAGCACTCTAAAATTATTATTCTGAGAGGATTTAAGAAATCAAACCCATTTAAAAATTGTTCCTGGGAGAAGAAATTCTCCCTTCCTGCAAGTGTGGGTGTAACTTGTGCCGACCTTAGTCTAAACTTGGGTACTTAAAATGCTGCAGGAGGAGCACAGGGAATTGTGATTTACACAGGTGAAGTGGATTTTGTGTCCCGTAGGGAGTTCTGACTTGTGGATTATATCCCAAACCTGAGAGAATTTGGATGATGATCAGACTTCATTTACTGACAATCTGCTGACAATTGCAGTTATTGATAAGTGATATTTTATTGAAAAATACTCTTTATAGAACAGTGACTCTGATAGCAGTTGATAGAAACTTAACTTGGTACAGCTCCTAGTGCAAGTTGTCCTGGAAGTTTTGTATGCATTTACAAAACTGTGGCTTCTATTTTCCAGTAGTATTTTTGTTTAAACAAACTGCCCACCACCAACCCCAAGGGGTCAAGAAAGAGCTGCTGCTTAAATTTTTTGGCAAGTTTCATGTTTATGTGTCACTTCAGGTCCAGCCAAACGAGAATTTTCGTCCAAGGAGAAGAAAGCAGGGGAAGATGAAGGAAGACAAAGCAGCGAAGAGCAAAGCTACCAACATTCCCCGCTTCGGAAACCTTTAGTAAGATCCTCTGGCAGCAGTGTCATGGCTGGGAGGAGGTATGTCTGCTTCTCTGGGAATCCACCTGGCAGGAAATGGGGAGCATGGAGAAGAATTATGATCAGAGTGTGCTGAACAGTCACGTTCTCGTCAGGGAGTGTTGCCTCCCTTCTCTTCTGGTTTGCCTGTTTTACAGGCACACATCTCTCACACTTGGTCAGAAAGATGCTCCTAGCTGCATATTAAGGCCTTTCACTTTGGTTTCTGTATTTCTTTTGAATATTTTGCCCCTAACAACATAACAGCACCTGCAGTATTGGGGCATGAGGGAATTGAATGAAACTGTGCAGAGCCAAACTGGGACCAAGCAGTGGTGACACTGTCAGTGGTCATGATTTAGCGAACTCCTGAAGAGAGCAGTTTGCTTTGTAGGCAGTCAGAATTCTGTGGAATCAGAGTCCTCTTTTTGGAGTACTTTGGATCGTTGTCTTGTCTCACCTGGAGTCAACAGTCTGCACAGGAATCCTCCTGTTTCGTGGTAGTCACAAGTGGCAAGGTTGTCGCGTTTCTCTCATACTCAATGGTGTGTCTGGTCTGACAAAAGTGATTTGACACGTGTAGTCATGTAACTATAAAATCAGTAACATGTTGTGAAGGAATCCT